CCATGATGTGATGTACAGTCAAGAGAGCCCTCCCCAGAACTGTGCTGATGTAGGCGTAATGCCCTTGAACTCCGGAGACTATGAATTAGATAAACCCCTCAGGTGCTTGCTTGTGGTAATGTGTAATTCTCGCTATTGCATGGTTCATTGGCTTCCCTTATAGTACCCTATCCATGAGTTCCTAAAAATACTGCTTCCTTTTTCTAAGCCAATTGTCCTGTGATTCTGTTCCTATTGGGATAAAACCCAAACTCCTCACAGTAGCATGCAAGGTCCTTCCTGGTCAAACTTGGCCACCTAGAGCCTCGAGCCTCTCCCCATCCCCTTCTTTGTTGCTTGCCATCTGAAACGACTTGCAGTTCTGCAGTGTAAAATCCTGAGTCCCTGCTCCAGCCCTTCATATCATTGCCTCTCTGAGTCTCACACCCACTTTGAGCTTGCCCTGCTCCCTTTTCTCATATGTCATGGTGTCTTCCTTCTTCCGGCCTTTCAGCCTCTCTCCACTCCTTTAGTGACTTCTTCTGAAGTGGTCTTCATCATGGCATTGATGACATGGTGTAAGGTATACCCGCGGAGTGGGACATGGTGGTTGTCATTCTATGCTTCTTGCATAAGGACCTGGCTCGCTAGGTATGAGATGAATATACACTCTATAAATCACACATGGGAAGACATTTTAAAAGTTGTCCTGTAGTATTTCTTGTATTGTGTCTTACTGTATTTGTGAGACTTGCAGAAGGGACTTGTCCCTGAGGATTTCAGAGTTGCTCACTGATCTTCAAAACGGTTTCTTATTTCCCTGTACTACGTATCCCCAGCTCCTCTACTTTGGGGTGTGGAGTGGACCAACTGGTTCCCATCTAGGAAGGGGACTGAAATAAACCTGGGTCCTGTTGCCAAGTTTAGGGAAAATAGGTAGAGGATCCAATGCCAGCTGTCCAGGAACTGGGATTCAAAGCTGACAATTTCACATTTTCTTCTGTTCTGCCAACAGACGCATTGTGCAGAAATAGAGTGCCATGGAGCACAGTTGAGAGTGCAGTATTTGTGGGGGTGGAGGGACTGAAGAGACTGGAGGCAGTGGCTGGGAGGGTCAGTGCTTGTTGATATTGGAATAAAAAATTGTGGAGGCAGCCAGTGTCAAGGGACCTGGTGGGACCCTATCCCCCTTCTTCTGCCTCTATCCCTCACTTGAACATGTTGCTATTTTGTCTGCCAGCAGATTCATGAGATGTTCTTAATCAGGCCAAAAATGAGAATTCCAAGAGGAAAAACGTGTGTTCCACACGGTGTGGAAGGTCAGCACAACGCTATCAAGAAACAAACCCTCTCCTAAGTTGATGTCAATGCTTGCCTTGCACACAATGTTGGGAGTTTTGATTTTGGTCTCATAGATACAATTTTTTTTCCTGCTTGAATCCTTAAAGTTATTTCCAGAATTTCAAGAGCAGTGTAAAAGCCACAGTTTTATCTGAAGCAACCCAGTCCACTTGGCCCTGTCAGAAGAATGACCAGGGAAAGTAGAAAGGCTCATATTGAGAGATGAGAAAGATGTCCTCAAATATCAATGCATGATGTAAATTAAGAGTTTAAAAATTAACATCTTGGGTGCTGCAATGGCTTTAAGAAAACTCAATTTTTTCCCCACACTTGAAGCAAGATAAATGTAATTTCTGTGCTGTGCATGATAATTTTTTAAAAGCTCATCTGTCATAAACTGCATTTAAAATTTTTCCAATGCAAGAAGAATCAAAAATATGAAACCCAAATAATTAGAATTTTGGAAAGAATAAAAAATATGAAACTGAAATGATTAGAATTTTAGGTTGGATGTGAATGATTCCTTTTCTTGAATAACAGTATGTGACCTAAAATTTCGCTATCTACTACTAGAGAAAGCTACACATATAAAATAAATTAGGGTGAGGTATATTTTTCATCATAAAATGGTTTTGCAGTTTATAGTAGTCTAAGTCACATTGTGTCCAGTCATCAATGTTAATAAACTGCTTGTTTGAAAAAATATTTCTGGGGGCAGGCAGTGTTGTACAGTGGGTGGGGACACCTCCATCCCCCACCAGAGACCTTGGCCCAGAATCTTCCTTCCTCTTCTGATCCTGCCTTTTCTTAATGCAAGGGAGGAAGGGGAGGGTGGCCAAGTGCTGGGAGGCTGTCACTCACACAGGAGCCCTGATGGAGTGAGTCCTGGCTGTTGGCTTCTGCTTTGGCTTGGTGTTGTGCCATTTGAGAACTGAACCTGCGGGTAGAAAATTCTCCCCCATTCCTTCTTCCTCCCTCTTTCCCTCTAGCTCTGCCACTCTACCTTTGAAATAAATAAATTGTAACGGGATGAAATAAAAAAAATCTTCTTAGAAAAGTGTACCTGTTTGTTCCTTTTTAGAAGCAGTGCTACCAAATAGCAAATGACTTCCAAATTGATGCAGGGTCCCAAGGCTGTCCTCGAATGCTTTCCCAGGCCACAGGCAAGGGGGTGGATGGGAACTGGGGCTGCTGGGATTAGAACCGGTGCCCATATGGGATCCTGTCTCGTGCAAGGTGAGAACTTTAACTGCTAGCTATTGCACTGGGCCCTGGGGGAAGCTTTAAAATTAGAAACATTTATTTAAAACTTTATATTGAAGGGCAGAGTGACAGAGAAACAGAGAGAAATCTTCCTTCTGCAGGGTTACTCAGCAAGTAGCTCTAACAATAATCAGGGCTGGACCAGGTTGTTTTCAAGAGCCTGGATCTTCATCTGGGTCTCTTATGTGGACGACAAGGTTCAAGTGCTTGAGATGTCATCTGCTGCTTCCCAGGTGTGCTGCAGCTGGAGTGAGAAGCAGAAGCATGGCCCTCTCCCACGTCCTTTGATAGGGGATGTGGAGATCTCATCAGCAGAGTAGCTGCAAAGCCCACCCCTTTTCTAAGTTTAATACGCACAGTCTAATTATTACCTGTAGTTACCCGGCTATGCAATAGAGTACCAGAGGCCATGCTTGCTCTCCTTAGTACCTTTCACAAACCGTTTCCCTTTCCTCTCTGCTTCTTACATAGCTACTAGTAAGTACTATTCTCCTCTTAATTTCTGGGAGGTCAATTTAAAAAAAAAACACAAGAGTTATTTGCTTATGTACTTGTAAGGCAGAAGGAGAGAGAAAGAGAAAGAGAGAGAGAGAGAGAGAGAGAGAGAGAGAGAGAGAGAAATATCTTTCATCGGCTAATTTTTTCCCAAATGGTTGCAACAGCTGGGGCTGAGTGGAGCTCAAGCCAGGGGCCAGCAGCTCTATCCAGGTCCCTATCCTGAGTGGCAGGGGCTCAGTCAGTTGGGACATCATCTGCTGCTCTTCCAGGCGCACTAGCAGGAAGCTGGATGGAGAGCAGAGGGACCAAGACTTGAACTGTGCTCTGACATGGTGGGAACTTCAACTACTGCTTGAGATCAACTTTATCAGAGTCCACATACGAGTGAGATCACACAGCAGTCGCGTGTTTGTGTCCGGCTTGTTTCACTGAACATGATCTCCTCCAGGGCCATCCGTGTTGAGAGCTTGGTGACATTTTTATTGAGATGATTGTATTTAGGATCAACAGCAAAGGCATCTCTGGCTAAGATGTGTCGTCTGCCATACTTGCTTTGACTTTTCCTTATGTGTATGAGGAAAATCAAGACTGGAGCTCCTGGGCCCCAGGGAGGTCATGGGCAGGTGAGGTCTCTCTGGTTCCTGGTTGTAGCTGTGAAAGCCTGAGCAAGTTACTCAGCAACTCTGTCTTTTGTTGTTGTTGTTGTTAGTAGTTTGGGGATGATAGTATCCTCTTCTGTAGGATTAAAACAATTCATAGAAGAATTAAAAAAAGTTATTTGAAAGGTGGAGTTACAGAGAGAGAGAGATATCTTCTGCTGGTTTACTCCCCAAAGGGCCACAATAGCCAGAGCTGAGCTGATCCAAAGCCAGGAGCTCGGGGCTTCTTCTGGGTCTCCCATGTGTATGCACAGGCTTAAGGACTTGAACCATCGTCTACCAGAGAGCTAGATTGGAAGTGAAGTAGCTGCAGTTTAAACTGGCTCCCATATAGGATGCTGGCAATGCAGACACAAGGTTATCCTACTATGCCTCAACACTGTCCCCAGTTTATAGGAAATTTTAGAACAATTTGCTAGTGCAGTTGAAGCGGATCTGCAAAAGATAGCAATAAATATTATTATTGACATTGGAAAGCTCACCCTTTGCCCTGTCTCAAGAACTGGAATGAATCAAGAGAAACTGTGCTTCTTAGTGTTCTTTCTTTTTTAAAACCACACTCAGCCTTTTCAGCAGAGCAAATAATTTTCAGTAAAGTCAAAATTACTTAGATCATTTTCTCCACACTGTAGTATAAAATATTCCAAAGCAAAAACGTAAAGCAAAAAAGACAAAGAGGGATCACAAACCTGGCAAGGGGACGAGTGTGGAGCATGGTTTTAAAGAAGTCATTGTATTTAGGTGGCCTGGCAGGCTACTGTAAACAGCAGGAGATGGAAGTAGGAAATCAGACCCATTGTGGGTCAGTGGAATGGATGTCTTTTCAACCAAACAGATGGCTATCTGCCTAGCAGAGCTGACTCCTGTTCCTCTGCCCAGTCATTTCCTCTACCCTACGTCTGTAAGAACCACCCACTCTAGTGTTTCTCAGGATTACGGGTTTTTAGGTCAAACAGAAACCCCAGGGAACGCCTGGAAAAGACAAACACAGGCAACTCCACTCTGCACAAGCTGGATGACGTGGCCTCCACTGCTGCCGTGTGTCGCTGAGGCGGCGGAGCCCACGCACGGGAGAGTCCAGCCCTGTGCACCCCTCCTCTGTGCGGCACACACCTTGGTCCGGGGAAGGGATCAGGTCTGAAGACGCTGATGCAGTTGAGCTTTCTCTGCTGAGCTAGCAGCTATGCCTGAGATCCTAGAAGACTGAACAGTGGACCTTCCACTGTCAATTGGCTCTTTGTCCTCGCCAGCAGTTCCACCATGACTGACACCCAGGATTCTCCAGCCATGACCGTGCACCTCCTGGCCAACTCTGGCCATGGCTCGTTTCTGCAGCAGACTCTGGACCAGCTCTTGGATTACATCTGCCCAGAGGTCCGTCTCTTTCTAGTATCGGAGCGGGTCAGTCCTGTGAAATACTATGAAAGGTCCCATCCCAAGCGCTCCCGCTTTCCGGGGGTGTCTGTTTTACTCTTTCTGCATGAAAGCTTTGGCGAGGAGCGGCTGCTCCGTGTTCTGGACTCCCTACAACGGTCGCCCTGGCAATGCTACCCGACCCAGGATGCCCAAGGGCGGCTGTGTCCCTATCTCCTTGCCAATCAGGAGTTCTACAGCCTGGACAGCCAGATGCCAGTCTGGGGTGTGCGGCAGGTGCAAGGTGGTGCCGAGATCTTGCGGGTGACGCTCTACTGCAGTTTTGATAACTATGAGGATGCCATTCGACTGTATGAGATGATTCTGCAGAAAGAGGCCACCTTGCAAAAGAGCAACTTCTGCTTCTTTGTGCTCTATGCCACGGAGAGTTTCACGCTGCAGCTTTCCCTGAAGCAGCTGCCGCTGGGGATGTCGGTGGACCCAAAAGAGTCTTCCGTGCTGCAGTTCAAAGTTCAAGAGATTGGCCAGTTAGTGCCTCTTCTACCCAACCCGTGTATTCCCATCAGCAGCACCAGGTGGCAAACTCAGGACTACGATGGCAACAAGATTCTGCTCCAGGTATTTCCACTTTACCTTTTTGAGCTATTACATCAGAATGAGCCCAGTGATTGTCAACTTAGGGTGCACATTGGAATCCCTGGGGAACTTTCAAAAATTGCCATGGTGTGTGTCTCTATTTCAGGACAGTTTGGGGGAGGGGGGCAACTGAAAGGATTTTTGCAAAGCTCCTTGGATGATTCCAAAATGCCTTGGATAATTCTAAAACATAGTCACTGGTCTAATAAGATGTCTCACTTGATGGAGCGTAAATATGATAAGCTCTTTCCACCTGACTTAAGGAACTGGAAGTCATGCTTATATAGTCAGGTCTGTAGACTTAATTTTGAAGCAAGTTGTACTCATCAGATTTTATTGATGCTCATGCTAGGTGGTTAGAACTTCCTCAAAAGAAAGTGTTGAAATTCAAGTTCACTTTTGCAACTATTCTATTGAAAACGATCCTAGTGGATGGGTAGTCTCTCCTGCTGGCCGCTCCGAATTGTCTTGTATGGTGCATGATGGGGCAATGGAGTCCTGCCACAGCTGTTAGTTCATTAGCTCAGTGAACACAAAGGTGACATCCTCCTGGATGGGTTAATATCCACCCTAAACAACCGCATGCTACAAAGAGTGTCATTAAGATAGTGCCCCAAACTACATTATTAAAACACTTCTTATTTTATTTATTTGAAAGACAGAGACAAACAGTGAGACGTGAAAGCAGACTTAGCGAGATGTCCCTCGCACTGTGATATTTCCTAAATGCCCACGTCAGCCAAGGCTAGCTTCGGAAGCCGGGAATTCAATCCTAGGCTCCCACTTAGCAGGAAGCCCAGTGTTTGACTCATCACTGCTTCTTCCAAGAGTGCACCTGACGGTCCCTAGAAACTGGGAGAAGAGCCAGGACTAGAATCCAGATACTCCAATACGAGACATCAGAACCCCGAGGGGACATTTTAAACTCAGTGCCAGACTCTTGTCCCCAAGAACTCAGCTTTAGCTATTACTGACTATGTACTAAGAGTTTTAGACTGACATTTTATAACAACCTAGGAAGTCACTGGTTTCCTCATTTCTCATTAGAAACCTAAGGTATAGACAGGTTCAGTCACTGGTCCAAGGTAAAGTTAGGAGGTATCTATCATGCTCCAAGGGCCAGATGGTTAGCCAGTATAGTCCAGTGCTCCTTTCCTGTGTGTGTGTCTGTGTGTGTGTGAGAGAGAGAGAGAGAATGTGCAGGCACAGGCTGTCCACAAGGCTTACAGCAAAATGTGCTATGGCTTTTGCCCTGAGAAATGAGCAGAAGCTTCTTTGAAGACAAATTGGATACGATAATTACAGGTTGCAACATTAGTTGTCTTTTCCTTGGGGTAATTTTGTTGTCATTACCTTGACTTAGCCAGTAAAATATGAATCATATGGACTTTATATTAAATGCTTTCCAAGTTATTTACTTTGCCTACATGAAGGGCGTAGGCATTGTTTCTGCTATTTTATAGGTTCTTTAATTCCAAGGTGTCCAAAAATTCTCTTTCAGTTGTAGTCAATTTTTCTGCCAAACAAAAGTTTAACGTATGTTTATGTGGCAGGGGGCACACATTCCTGTTTTGAAAACTTGCATAGTTTCCCTTCATAGTCACAGCCTTTACAGCTTAGTTACCTTGGAAAGTTAAATCAACAGCATGTGGCATTACCAGCCAGCCCTCCCTGTTCGCAGCTTTCCACAGTGAGCCCTATTGTCCAAAATCAAGTTCTTTGAGCTTTTTATAGATTTTTTCAATTGTCCAAAGTTGCTGTCTTTGTACCTCTTGCTGGCCCTCTGTCCAAGTTTACTATACTTATGGTTCCTTTTGCTTGATTTGTTCATAGTTATCCATCTCTTGGACACCTCTGATCTGGACAGACGAAATGTTAAATCCATTGCTTTGGTGTCAGACCCTGGATTCCAGGTCACTGACTTAGATCTTAGCTTGATGTGTCATGGAGAAACTGTAGACTGAAAAGATAGTTTCCCCGGAGGCTGTGAGAATGGCTCCAGCAGTCGATGTGCAGTGAAGCTGTGGCAGAGGAGGCAGCCACAACTTTGTTAACCTTTGACGTGGTGTGCTGTGCCTGATCACACAGCTCTTCTAGGCTAATGAGGAATGCACACCCCCAGTGCCTGGAGTACCAGGAGGCCCGCGGTAACCGTGATGGTAGGGCTGTAGCCAGGAATTTTGAGTATAGGGAAGGGAAAGGTTAAACTGACCCAGGGTATCTGGGACTTGGTGGGAGAAGATGTGACTTGGTGGGTGATCTCTAATCAGACATCAGAGGCTGAGAGTTCAAATGAATGTAGGAGAGCAGTTTTTGGTCATTTCAGAACGTGTGTGGGAAGATAGAAAGTAGGGCCCAAATAGCGGCATTTTTTAAGAGAAGAGGCAGTCACTACAGCTGTAACTTATAATTTAGGGCAGCAACTCTGGTCCCATCAAATAGGATAGGTTGGGAGGAGAAGAGACTGACCACTTCAGAGGAGCTTTTAGTCCAATCAAGGGTGAGCAACATTTTAAAATTTAGAATCCATAATGAAAATGTAGGGGTTAAATATGAGTTGTATGTCAGGATAAACCTGACAGAATTTGGCAACAAATCAGAGAATGAAGAAGTGGGAGGTGACCTTTGGGTTTGAGTTGTATGTTGGTCATTCAGGTGAATCCATTCACAGTAGAGTGGCCCCTGAGGACTAGAACTCAGAAAGGGGCTTGGGTTAGGGGCATAGATTCTTGTTTTGGATGGAAGTCTTGGAAAGCAATGGAGTTATCAAGGACGAGGGTAAAAAATGAAAAAAGATAAAGACATGCCTTTAAAGTCCACATTTCAGGGAAGAGAAGAGGGAAGAAGAATCTGAGAAACTGGAAAAGGACAGTCAGCCGGAGGAAAAGGTGATGGTGTCCTAGAAACCGCTATGCCACCTGGCAGCAAGTCATCGCTAAGACACAGCTTCCCCGGTGTGCCAGCGCAGGTCCCTCAGGTCCGTCTGTCCTGGCCTCCTCACCAGGCCACTGGTGGCTGGCTGATGGACTGCAGGGCCCTGTGTCCAACATAACTGCAGTCACCAGCATGCCAGGCTGTCGGGGAAGTCCCCACTACATCACTGAGATCAGGTCGAAGTTTGCAGCAAGATCTTTCTGATGATTTGAGGATAAAGAAGGGGAGGTGGGGAGGGGGGAATCCTCAAAGAATCCTCTATAAGAATGGTTTACAAGAACTTCTAAATGTTTCTGTTCTCTGAGCTCCCGGGCTGAGGAACGTTGAGGTTCTTTATAGCTTTCCTCTGTGTCTCTCCAGCACTTACCTATAGGAAGTCTCCAGACCAAGCTCATGTACTGCAGAAAAACAGTCCTCTCTCCTTCCCTGTTAGACCCACATGCCACGTCTTCTTTCATAAATAGTAACTGCTTCCTACATCGACTGAAATGGGAGTGCTCACACTCATCCCTGCCCCTCTCATCCATGCCCCAGTAGTTATGTCCTGTGCTTGCCATCCAGGTAGGGTGGATAAACCAATTACGACAGCACGTGAGCCCAACATCAGCACCATCTGGTGTAGCCAGTGTCAGTAACAGATGCAGTTGTTGGTCATTGCAGGCTGGTTGTCTTCCCCTACTCTTCGGAATGAGCTGCAACTCAGGCCTGAATGTCCTTCCTGCATTCCTTTGGCCTCATGCCGTGTAATCAGCATCTGAGTTAAAACGGAAATAGTTCTCCAAGACACGAACAGAAAGATATGAGAGAAAGTCATGTGTTTTTGAAAAGGATTCTATTTCACACTCATACTCCCCTTTCTATTCTATAATCGAGACCCATTTCTCTAGACAAATGCTGTCTTCTAGAATTCTCATACCTAACTAAAACACTTGACTGGATCTTTGTAATACAGAACTCATTGTAACATGTGCCTCCTTTTGTGTCATGTGAGACTTTGCAACTCTCTTTTCAGTGTTTTATTATAGATGTTTGGCTCCCATAAAGTTCCAAGCAAACACTGCTTCTGAAATATTTGTTGATTGATTGATTGAATAGAAAATAATTTAGTCTCTTCAAAATATATATTCCCCCAGAAGCTATTTAGGAATAAACAGGCTTTGCTTCATTTTATTATAAAAATCAGATACATTCATCTTCATACTCTTTATTAGCCATTAAAAAGAAAAGAACGTAGCAATTTATTTCCTTCTTGTCTGTCATCTCCCAAGGGCTCCTTTCTCTCATTCTGAGTTTCCTAACAGATTTATTCAAACTCTATTACTTCTCATTTCCTTCTCTACATATCCACTCTCATTACATGGTACACAGCCTCAACAAACAGACTTCAAAAATGGAAAAGCTGGCAATAAAGTGTATATTTATTTTGGGGCAAATATTGTTGAATCCATGCAAAGTTTCTTATAACACGTATTTTCCACGAATTTTTTGTCATTGTTGTCTTTGTTTTTTTCCATGAATTTTTAAAAGTTTCCTTTTTGCATAGATTTTAGCATTATTTTTTGCATAAAAATGAACAAGTTTTCATTTAATTTTTCCTTTAACTTTCTGAAGTCCCCTCATATGAGTATCCCCACTTCCGCTCTCTCAGTAGTTCTGTTTGTGCAACACTGACAAGGCATTGCTTGCAGGTTTCCTGTTACTGTATGATTCTGGACAGTTTATTTAAGTTAGGACTTTCCCAGAAGTGTTAGTTAATTGGGAAATACTGATTTTAGTTCCTGAACAAGTCTGGCACTGTTTGCTAATTTCTTGTTATCGATGTATTTTTTCCATGGAATTATTTTTTTTCCACAGTACTGTTGAAATGTTTTGCTACCAACTTAAAATCACTTTCAGTAAGAAACAATATTATTTTCCCTTCATGATGTGAGTTGGCCCCTTCATAGCTTAATCATTTTTAGTTTCCTCTTGTTTTCCAAGAGTTTTGAGACATAAATGAATGATCTTACGTGTCCTGATAATTGCTGATATCCTCTGTTCTTAAAAAAATAAATCCTAGGTGTTAACCTGTAGCATTTTACAAATATTTGTTAGGAAGAAGAATTATAAATAGATCAAGATTCTTACAAATGTGCTTGATTTTGCTTTGTTTTGTTTTTGGCAAAAGCAGCTTTATTTCCTGTCAGATTCCTTTCCCTCCCCAAGCGCTCCTCCTGGCGATTCTTTCAGAGTGTTCGTTACTGTGCCTCTTCATCAACAATGAGACATCCACTTTAACTTCTGCTCTGAGGATCTCAGGATATCTTTTATAAAGGTTGATGTGGTCATTTCTTAAGACTGTAGAAATGTTCAACCATAGTAACAGCCACTTTGGACGTCTTTGGTAAGCCTTTTTGTCTACTCAGTGTAAAATAAACAGGGGCCTGCTTTATAGAGGATGCATTTCCACTCCTATGTACAAAACTTACACTTGATTTAAATGTTAAGTCTTACTTAATTATCCCACTGTTCCTTAGTGATTTCTCGCTCAGTAGAGACTCAGCTAGTAGGGACTGTGCTAGTTATTAGAGACATGATACTGAAGATGTATATATAATTCTTGTTGTTCCAGATGGCCAGGTCTGGGGAAAGCCAGAGGGAGGTAGTGGTAAGTGGTAAGATATGAGGAGACGGGCAGTGCAATGAGAGCTAGGAGCAGTAGTCCCCATCATGATGATGATAAACAGCACGTACGCAGTGCTACCGGCTCCCAGGCAGCATCACCGTTACCGTTTACTGTTTACCACAGCCCTAGCGTGTTTACGTTTGTTGTTATCATCTTTAGAGGTGAGCAAGCTGAGGCGCAGGAATGCAGTCTAGAGTTCCATAGCTAGTGAGTGGCAGAATTAATACTTAGAGGCACCTAATACAGATTGGGTGATGGGGCAAGGAGTTGACAAAAAGTAGTTTTCAGGAAGCAGGGTAAGAGCAGAGCCACCCTGGTTAGAAGAAACATTATAGATAAACACTGTCATCAAGGAAAAGGAAGTCGTGTTTAGGGAGTTGGGAGAAGTTAAATTTTGCTATGTGGAGGTTGCAAGACAAAAAGTGGCAAATTACTACACTGGAATAGAACGAGACAGGAGAATGGGATGGGCCATCTGTATTCTGTTTAAAGGCAAAGCTTCTTTTGAAAATGTACGAACAAATTAGGTTAATGATTCATTTGAAAGGCAGAGACCATCAGATAAAGATCTCTCATCTACTCATCTACTGCTTCACTCCCCAGATGTCCACTGCAGCTTGGCAAACGCCAGAATCTGGGAGCTGAGTCTCGCTTCTTATTTACATGGCAGGACCCATGAACTTGAGCTGTTATCTGCTGTCACCCAGGGAAGGCATTAGCAAGAAGCTAGAATCAGGGGTGGAGTTTAGACTCTGTCCCAGGCACTGGTGTAGGGGGCCTTCACTTCTATGCCAATCACTCGCTGGCAGAGGACCATATTAAAGAACACATTTTATCTTAAATTGGAGCAGAAAGCTGTTGAGGAGTTTGACAACGTGATTGAGGAGAGTGGCTACAAATGAATGATTTGGTAAATTGGGTTCATGAAGAAGGCAGGGGATGATGAACTGACAGCACAGACAGGGGCGAAGCCTTGTGTACAGGGGAAGTTGCAAGTAAACATGGTAGTGGCAAACAGGGTGAGTTGGTGCTTCATCTGTTCTTCAGTTGATGACATTACCTGAGACAAGAAGGGGAGAGGGATTTGGGTACTGTAGGGGAACGGAGAGAGGCTGCTGAGAAAAGGGGAGCATGGCAGGGAGTGTGAGGGAAGGTGGATGATACACCCTACTGTCTGTGCAGGGCAGCGACGATGGAGGATGTAGAGGGAGAAAGTTGGGAACAGAGGTTTTGTATTGAAGAGCTGGTGTAAGGAGCGCATTGGATAATACAGCAAGTGGTCTCAAAGTGCTTATGGTCCTGGGGCCCATTGAGTTAGTGGCTTAGGAGGATACTTCCCAGTTGCCCTGAGGTATCAAAGTTCTGGTTGTGACTTCAGGACCAGTCTTATTCATTCTGATTTGAAATTGATTTAGGCAGCAAGAAATTACTCAAGCTTCTCCTGTTCCCACTTAAAGATAATGAAATAAGAGCCCTGACCTAAACATACGGATTTATTTCCCCAGATCAGATGTTCTAATTTCAACTGTGAACAATTTCTGCATATTGAAATAACAATACATATTTTTTGTTTATAGGAAAAAAAAAAGGATTTCTCTGGGTCAAATAAAAAGATGGGATGGAATATCACAGGTGGTTCTAGAGGCAAAAATGACAACCGATTCATTGTGGGACTAAGGGATTTGACTCTCACAGGTTGAGAGGTCCCAGACTACAATGGGTGATAGCATTCCCCAACCATCACCCTTGTTCCAGTTAGGAAAGAAAAACAAACAACGTTCCTTGGAGAATGAGACTTTGGGATTAATTTGTGGTTGGTAATGGGGTGGAGGTGGAGGGAAACCTTACATTTTATTTTAAAGATTTATTTATTTTTATTGGAAAGTCAGATATACAGAGAGAAGAAACAGAGAGGAAGAACTTCCATCCGATGATTCACTCCCCAAGTGGCCTCAACAGCTGGAGCTATGCCGAGCTGAAGCCAGGAGCCAGTAGCTTCTTCTGGGTCTCTCCTGCAGGTGCAAGGTCCCAAGGCTTTAGATGGTCCTCAACTGATTTCCCAGGCCACAAGCAGGGAGCTGAATGGGAAGCTGGGCCACTGGGACTAGAACCGGCACCCAAATGGGATCCTGGTGTGTACAAGGCAAGGATGTTAGCCGCTGGCTATTGTGCCGGGCCCTATTTTTTTTTTAATTTAAATATTTATTATTTAAAAGGTAGATTTACAGAAGGAGGAAAGCAGAGAAAGAAAGAATGAAAGAGAGAGACAGAAAGAAAGAGAGAAAAAGAGAGAGAGAGCTCTTCCATCTGCCAGGAGCTTCTGGGTCTCTCATGTCAGAGCAGGGGCCTAAGGACGCAGGCCGTCTTTTGCTGCTTTCCCAGGCATATTAGCAGGGCACAGAATTGGAAGTAGAGCAGCTAGGATTCAAAACAGCACTCAGATGTGATGTCAGCATGACAGGTGAGGCAGAACTTGCTGTGTCAGGGCTCCAGCTCCTTTTTTTGTTTTATAGACTTGTAGAATTAAATGCTTATTATAATAAACAACAGTCACTTTTATATTTGGTTGGCCATCCCTAATCCCAAAATCTAAAATCTGAAATGCTCCAAAGTCTGACAGTTTTTGAACCCTGACATGACACCACACGTGGTGAATCCTCTATCATACTTCATATGACAGGCTGCAGACAAAACACAGGTGCACTGAACATAATGTCTGAGATTATATACAGACTATGAGTATAAGGTGTTTATGAAGCATAAATAAACTTGGTGTTTAAACTTGAATTCCTTTACCAAAATAACTCATTATGTGCATGTAAATATTCTAAAATTTGAAGGAAAAAAAACCCTGAATATGAAATACTTCTTGCCTCAAGGATTTTGGATAGGGGATACTCAACCTGGAACCAAATATTTTTATTAAAATGAAGAAAAGACTGCGAAGGGAGGGTGCAAAAGGGAAGAACGCACAATGGAGGTGAGGGAAGGCGTGGAGCAAACAGTCAAGAAACACGCAAGGTGAAAATACACGAAAGGATGGACAGCGACATGGGACACGAGGGCAGCTCTGTGCGGTGAGAAGAAGCCCCCCAAGACCCCAAGATGACAACTTGAAGCACAGCATCTCTGAGCCCCTGGTAGTGGTTCCCACGTGCTGCTGTGCTTCAGGAACACTGGGGATCAAAACATTCCTGATGCCCGGGTCATGCTCCACACTAGTGGTTCTGGAAAGCCTGGGGTCAGAGGGGGAGTCAGTGAGGACGAGAGTGTGTCATGATCTCCAGGTGATGGCAAAGTGCAGCAGAGTTGGTGCAGGGGACATTCATCTGAAAGCCTTACTCCAGTGACACCTCTTGTGGTGCAGTGCATATCCCTTCCACACAGGTGGGGACCACAGGAGTGCATCTGGGTGGGGCAAGTGGGTTTAGATCTTTGCAGCTCTTTAGGGAATTGGATTGGCCAGAGCTTCTAGAATGGTGGTTTTCAAACTGTTCTGAGAATTTTTTTAGGACCTGGAGGGAGGGGTCAGCAGCCACAATGCGAGACAGATGAGAAGAAATAGTGAGGTCTGGCAGGCAGGGCTGCTCCTGTTTAAGCCCTTTGTACAGCTCTGATTACATTGTTTAGTATTTCGGGGTTTCCGTGTGAGACGCTGTTCCTGTCTTCCTTTCTCTCCATCTTTCTTCCTGCCAAAGGAATGAAAGTTTCAAAGGATGCAAATTATAAGCCAGTCGAAGTGTGCCCAAGTCCTGGAATATTCCAAGAAACATCTTAGTAGTGTGATCTGGAAGTAGGACCCCCATATTTGGAAGATTGTATTCTTCCGATTCCAATTCTTATCTTGATGACAATTGCATTTTTTATGGCGTTTGAGTCTACTGTTGCTTGGTTGGTAATTCATCATTTCCAACATGGAACAAGGTCATGGAATAACATGTGTGAATATCATTGCGCTACTTGGACACACCGGCCTACCAGGAGAATGGTGTCTCCAGTGGTAATTTGGTTCTCACAGCCTCACCCTTGTCATAAAGTTGATTTAGTGAGTCCAAGAGAGAGATTCAGAGCTAGTTGTATACCCCATTGTCAGGTAGTTAGCTATTTTATTCTAACCCAACAAACTTTGCTGTAAGTCTGCTTCAGGCACGGCAGAAAGCGAGGCGTGGGTTGCTGCTGACACTTGGTTAATGGAACCCATGCTTCATTGGTTGTTCCTTTTTTTGTCCCTTAGGTCCAGCTGAATCCAGAACCTGATGTTCAGCACAGTGAACTTCCCCTTGCAAATGGCGTCTTGGGAGTTGATGCGACACCCCGGAGCTCCAGGCTGACCTGTGACTCTGCAAGGAGCCAAAGGAGCCGGGGCAGGAGGCTGGGGGTGCAGTCGGTGGCACTCTCTGAGGCTGGTGGGAGCCCAGCATCAGACAGCTCCTATGGTGCTCCTTGGAAGCGCCCCAGTCATACATCCCAGGCCAGCAGCCCAGCCACGGGAGGCCGGCTGCACCTGCCTTCTCCTCAACTTGAACATGGGGCGAGGCTGAAGGCCCTCAGCTGGGAGAAGGGCTTTCAGAAGCTAGAGGCAGAGACAAATGTTGATACAGGGTTTACTACCATCAACTCTGAATCCAGACACTCTTTCCGGAGCAGGGTCTCAAGGGAGTTTCAGACTAACCAGTCACCATCCTGCTTGCTAGCCTCTTCCTTACAGAAAGCTCCCTCCTCAAATGGCAGAGTCCTAAAGAAAAGAGTTTGTGCATCTGCGTTTGCTGGCCAAAAGGAACCAAGCGCCAGAAAGATCGGCTCAAAGTGCTCCCTTCCACACCCTGTCCAGGGTGAAGAGAAAGAGGAGGAAGAATTCTTTATATAGCATAAAAACACTATGGCTTTTTGAAACAAAAGATCCTTGGAATGTTCTAGAAATGGGGCGCTGACACTTTCTGCTTCTTGCTCGTTGGTGGGGGCCTGAAGGCTACCTGGGTATAGGCTTGTTTTCCTGTCAAGTGGTCAGATCTACAGACGCTGGAGTGGTTGCTGATTTGCTGTTGGAGTTGTAAGAGAAGAGAGGCAGCAGAGACAGGGCGCTGTGCTTGTGGTCCTGGGAGACACACTGACCCTGTGGACGTGTTGAATTCAGCTCCTATCAAGATCATTGCATTGTACCCCAAGGAATTGATGTGTTGTGAGGTACTGATTAGTGGATGTAATTTGGTTTTCATTTCCACTTGGGCTGCATAGCTCATCCCCTAGAGAGCATGGATGGTTTCTGCTTTGGTGCTGTTTCATGTTGATGTGGCCTCCTTTGGTAACTAGGCCCTGTTCCCCACACAGCCCTTGTGATTGTGCCTTTGAAGTTACTTGCATCTGAAATGAGGGGAAAGTGCAAAGCTTCTCAAAAATTGTAAACAACTATGCTTTCCCCTTGTACAAGGAGCAGAAATGCTGGAACCAGAGGATAAGGTTACGGCTGGTTGCGAGGCTCCTAACTCTGCCGTTCTTGGAGCAGGGCAGAGACTCTGCTTGCAAACCGAGGAGGAACATGGAGTGAAGGCCTGGGATGCCTCAAGAACAGCACTGAGTACGGCAGGAAGACTGGACTTGGGTTACTGGTTGGGTTACTGAGGCAAGACCTTATTCCTGGGACTGCATCAGAATCTCCCAATTTCTTTGTAACACTTGTTAACTTTCTCACTCAAACCCTACTTATTGAACATTCAGGGTAACAGCAGATGCTATATTCTTGTATATGGTACACATACGTTTGGTGGCCACCCAACCCAAAAAACATTTATGGTTTTGCTGCTATGGAAAAACCCATTCCGTCAACTTTCAGATGACGTCTCCATTTCAGTTGGCTCATTTAAGCACCTTTTCCAAATTGATGTCCTTACTTGCTAATTGAGGATGTACTTAAAACTTACAGATAGGGACCAGACATCATTAGGAATTGGAATTATAAATGGTAGTGGGTAAATTTTCAGTTGCTCACAAGCTGGATATTTTGGGTTTATTTATATGCCCATTTTTTAATGTTGAAAGCCCGTGTTCTTGTTAATTTATGAGGTTATTCAACTCCATGGGCTTCATCCTCCAGGAAAAATATTGCAAAAGCACATTCACTCTGCTTGGGGGCAGGAAGGAAGGAGGTTTGCAAGATACGAGGACAAGTTCTCTACATTTCTAGAAATTGTCTTCTCTTTAAAACATAACCATATTCTCATTCCTATTTTCCCTCTCTCCTTAATCAGAATTTGGTCTTGGAAAATAAGATATTAAAAAAAAACTATGGCTTTGTAAAATGACAGTTTAAAATAACAAAGGTCTTCTTTTCAGTTGAACTATTCAGCAACCTTAAAATCACAAGAGGGAGAAGTTCAAATTTCCTTTCCACTTTTTAATTGTTCTTTAAATCTCTTTGACATAATTCATGGGTAAGACCATAAGTACATGGAAATCATAAACGACATTGAGACATTTGAATGAGTACCTTGCAAAAATGACTTTTAAAATAATACAATCTTGGGGTGGCAGGATGGCTCAGTTGACTAATCCTCCAACTTCAATGTGTCATCCCATACAGGGGCCGGTTGCATCCTAGCTGCTTCACTTTCAAACCAGCTCCCTGCTGTGGCCTGGAAAAGCAGTAGAGGATGGCCCATGTCCTTGGGAGCCTGTACCCACGTGAGAGACCCATAACAAGCTCCTGGCTCCTGGCTTCAGATGGACTTAGCTCTGGCCATTTGGGGAGTGAAGCAAGAGATAAAGATCATTCTCTGTGTCTCACATTCTCTCTGTAAATCTGCCTTTCCAATAAAAATGAATAAATCTTTCAAAAACATACACAATCTTTAAAATATCCCATACTCTCTCTTCCTCATCATGGGAATTTAACACATAACACAATGGACTGGGAATCCCAAGGGCTGGGTGGCAGACACTCAGATTTTGGGCTCAGTTGTTAGGTTTGCTGTTCATATGTTCATGAACTTGTCAGAACTTTTGACCCTCTGTTGCCTCGTCTGTGTTAGGAGAATTGAGATTATGTGTGTTGTGTACATGAAAGTATTTGGATATTATTATGAAGTGTGATGTGTTTTATTATATTGTATTCAATGTATTGTTATTGCAACTGGTCCTTTGGTTGTAAAGCGTGAAAATGTCGTGACAACAAAGATGTTTTTTGGATGCAAGTGCTATTGACACCAATGAGACAAGTAAAAACCAAACCAAGGAGTGAGCAGTTGAAATAGGATAAGATGCCTCTTGGGGAGCATTGGAGTGGCTGAGAGTTCATGACCCAGCCCTGCTTCTGGACCAGCTTCCTGCCAACTTGCACCCTGGGAGGCAGTGGGGAAGGCCTGGTTACTGGGCCCTTGTCACAAATGTAGGAGACCCGGTTTGAACTCCAGACTTCCGGTTTTGGTGTGGCCCAGGCCAGGCTGTCCCAGGAGTGTGGGGGAGTGGACCAGCAGATTCTGACTGTCTATGTCTTGCAAATGAATAACAATTTTAAGAAGAGGTAGAATTGATCATTTTTATTAAACATAAATCCCACATTCCAATTTTTTTTATGATGCATTCTAATTGTTTTCTGTTCCATATGTAACAGAAAAATTACATGAAAAAGTAGTCAAATATGTCCTGGAGTTCAGTAAGATATGCAACAGGAATAAGCTATGAACTAGTTTCAACCATTTATCAGGTTAACCAATTACAATTCCATTACATTTCCTGCAATGTAAAGCATGCCACTTTTAAAATTTGAGTATCTGGTGATGATCACAATATTTTTTAAAGATAAGTGCATTAGAATGCAGTTGCATCATAGTTGTTCTCAATTTTAAAAACTTTTTATTTTTCATGATTCAATTCCATAGGCTCAGGGATTCCCTCTTACACCCTGTGCATTCCTCCACCCACCATACTGATTCCCCTATATTATTATAACAGTATAATCCTTCAACAGTCACAAGCCCATCATTCTGTTATTCAAGTGTATCCTGACATTGCAAGGAACAGACAATGGCAGACAGTCCAGCATCTTATTGTCAAGATGTTTCTACAGTTTCGCTAGGAGTCCATCGTTTGTAAACGACTTCTTCGTCACCATTTCAGTTCTGTTAGCTGTGCCATGTGCCTGGAGATCTATTTTATTTTTTAGTTTTTAAGCTTGTATTTTTCATGACACAGTTCCATGGGCTCAGGGGTTTTCCCTGTATTTGATTTCCCGTTACTTTTCCCTTGTTAGGGGGGTTCTCTTTCATTACTTCATTGACTACAACTTTGAACTCAGCTTCTCTTTCTGTGTCTTCAGCAATTCTTATAACTCTTAACATTTAACCTTTTGATGGTGTCACTTAATTCTTTTTTTTCTTTATTTTAAAATTATTATTAGCATTTATGGAATCTCCCCTACCCTCTCCCCAGTCCTTCCCACCTCGAGTTCTCTCAAATCATTACAACAGCATGGTTCCTCATAAACAAATGGACAATGGCAGAGAGTCCAGCATCCGGTTGTCAAGACACATCCAACAGCCTCAGTGGGAGCCCATCCTCAATCCTAAAGTAGAGATGCACACTGTACTGTGTCCTCACATCTAGACATGTCAGTCTGCACCCCACAGTCACTGTATTCACCCCTCAACGTGGAAAGCCACATGTCCCAGGTGGTCCCCTCCTCATCTCGGTCTCTGTAGACCATGAGCATTACTGCACGCTTTGTACTGTTGGTCCTGCTCTGAGCTTCCCGGAGATTCCCTCACAAGGTTTAGGCTCCTCTGTCTCTCCCGCAAGCAGATGCTGCGTGGGAGAGCCCAGGTCGTTCCGGGCCCACTGCAGGAGATCTCCGTGCAGCTTAGAGAAGATAGTCTGGGACTGTGGAGCTTCAAAGCAACAGCTTTTCTCTTTGGTAAGAGACACACTTAAGAGTCCCAGCAGAAATGACTTGCTTGTTCTCATAAGGGCTGGTTGACTCATGGGAGCACAGTTTGCAACTGAGTCAAACTAGCAGGCAATTACAAGACTTATTCCTTTTAATGTGTCCCCAAATTGCAATTTCATTTTGGTACTTTCTTATTTCTTTGCGCAGAGGTCTGATTCACCAAATAAAATGGGACTGAACTTCAGCAGAATTTTGCATGCGGTTGGAATTTCGTTATTTGCCGTCACAAGAGGGCGCCGTTGTGGCTCAATCTAAACCATTGTGAAGGAGTCACCAAGCTTTCCCCCGGTCATTCCAAGAGAGGATGCATTTAAAAATAATGCAACATTAGTAGTTATCTCAAAGCTAATTTATGTTTAGGAAATTTCCACATAGGAGTTTTGGCGGGAGACACAGCCCACCTGAAGATGTTCCAATCTATCTCGCCTAACTTGGGCTCATGATTTAGATTTGGCCAATCAGGCATTCTCACCTGGAATTGGAGGTTTTTTTTAGGATGGGGGGGGGGGGGAAGCATCATTCTGGCCCCAGGGAGTAGTAATATCTACTCCTAAGGGCTGCAGTGCAACTTCTTGAACTCGGCTCTGTGGCTGAATTTGGGTTGCGATTCTGCCAGCTATTCTTACTTTTGTTCTTGCGCATTTTTTGAGCCTAGTTCTGCGGTCTTTTGGGAAATGCACTTTCAGCTTGTATCAGCCAGCATCAGTCTTATGTTTACACCAACTAGCCGAGGCCATTATGCGTAAAGCAGTTCCAGGCTAAGGCCAAGGACATGATGCTCCAAAGGGAGAAACAAAACTGCAGCAGTCCAAGTGGGGGTGCAGTGTTTCTCCGAGGTTCTCCCATTCTTGTCCCCTTCGCTTTCTGAATTGCGTGTCTGTCTTCTTCTTCATGGCCGTGACATTAGAGGACCTGCTTTTACTTTTAGG